TGCTCAAGAAGACAAAGTCAGCCAGATATAGAAGCCCTAGCTGAAGGATTACAGATGATTTGTGGACAAAACAAAGCAATGAACTTAAGATACAGTGGCAGGAAAGATGGAAAAGAAAAATAAAGTAGAACTCCAGCAGTGAAATCCTGGCTCTTTTCAAGTCAGTGGAGATTTTGTCCTAGAATGAAGCTAAAATTTGCCCTTTCCTGGCTTGCTATTTTTCCCCCCACAGTGCAGAGGCCTGCCCGAGGGGGCAAGGGTTGTTCTCCCACCCCTCCACACTTGTGCTTGATGCAAGGGACAAACATTTAGGCATCATCTAGGGACTTTCTGAGTGAGAACGGAATTGGGAGCAGTGAAGGTGGAAGGGGAGAGGACAAGGACGTGGAGAAGTCACTGGGAAGGGCAGGCAGATTAAAGGCAGCAGCAGAGGTTAAGTGCTGGCAGAAGAAATTGCAGTTCTGTGCTGGGCAGAATGCAGGGGGGCCACTGATGGGCACCCAAGAAATGTCCATGATGTTCAGAGCTGTTTCCAAGCTCAAGTTCACAGCTGCAGGTTGAAGCTGCCCTTCTGACATGAATTATTACCAGGAAGGCCAAGCTGTGATGCCAAAGCTCTCATCTTCCCACCCAAAGGATAACTTACCCAATGTGCTGCCAGGCAAGCAGAGGTACTTTAATTACTGTGGCTAGAAAATTTCTGTTGTTGACTTTGAGAAGGATGACACTACGCTACCTAATACCATGTCACCAGGATTCACCTTCCTGCAGGGACAGGGAGCAGATCCTGCCCGTAGGGTCTAAAATAAAGAGAACATTTCAAGATGATAGCTCGACAACCTCTTGTGAACCCATCATTCATTCCCAAGCAATGATATTTTGCTAGAAATTCATACAGGTCCATAGAAAGGTTATTCTGGATATGCCTGTATTGGGTGATGAGGGGTATAGGATGTTCAGAAGTGACTACAGACTTTTCAAACTGACAACCTAATCCTTTTCAAATGGTTCCTAACTGTGGCTACAAATGTACCTTAAACCATGCACTGCAGTTCTCAAACCTGGGCACGCATGTGCTTTTCTCAGAGTAAGTTATGCAAGGGAGTAAAAACTAATCAGCACTTAGGAAAAGTGTTTTCCCACTGACATTTGCACATTTTCTCCATAAGCTGCCAATGAACATCCATAATGCTGGCGGTACACTGTCTCCTGAAGTCTACATAAGCTGCTGTCTGTGAACATTCATTTAAGACACAGCCATGTGTACTTACAATAACCGAGCCTGCTCTTGGAGTTTGCTCTCTGAGTTGTTATTTGCTTGTTTTCTCTCCCCAGGAAGAAAGCGGAGGGTTAGCAACCTCCCTGAAAGATCTCTCCTAGTACAGGCGAGCACAGAGCACCTGGGACTTGGACCTTTAACCTCCAGGAGTAAAATCAAAACACGGCTGATGTGTGGGAGAAAAAGCAAGCTGTTAAGTGACCCTGAGAGTGCCCGCCAGATCTCTCTGGAGAAAACAGAGAGACTGCCTCAGACTTGCAGCATCCTTCACACCTTCCCTGCAGCCAGTGCAGCCGCCCATCACCCCGCGATTGCCTCTGAGAGGGACCGGAGGAGACTCGAGATACCAGAGTCAAGGCCAACAAGGGGAGAAGTGGAAAATGAGGTTGGGAAAGAGACAGAGGGATCCCAGTAAAAGCCACCACACTTCCCCTTTTCTCCTGCATACTGCTCCTCAGGAGTAAATCCTGAACGCTGGGCAGCAATCCACATATTAAGCACATTTGAGTCGGACCTCAATTCACACTAGGGAGACCGTGCTGACCTTTTCTGTGGGTGTTTCAGGTGGAACTGCAGCCTCAGCTGAAGCTGGGGATAAGCCCCAGGCAAACCAAGGGGATGAGGCAGGTTCCATATGGGCAGCTGGGGCCCAAAACCCACAAAGATCTCCCAGGACCCACTACAGAGCTGAAGACGCTACACAGGGTTACTAAACCATCTGTCAGGGACACAAGGTTTTACAAGAGGACACAAGAAAAACTGCTAATGAGTTTAGATTTACAATTGAACTCCAGTTCAGCATTTCATTTGCACGTGTAAACGATTTAGGGAACAAGCATAAACATTTGGACAGCTGTCTAAGCTAGATGGCTTGTTGTCATGTTTATATTTTGTGCTTATGATTGTTGAGTCAAAAAAATCAGAGGAACAAGATCAGTTCACCAGAAGAAAGCTGAATGTTCAAGAAATAGGTCTTTATAACTACTCCTTTACCCTGAGATAGTCACAGTTACCGTCAGTGGTAAGACAAAAAAACATTAAATCACATTTAGATTTCTCACCCCAAACCTAAACAGAAACCTAGAAACAGGACAGGAAAATCCTCTCAAATGGAAACCTCTCACAGATTTTGCTATCCTAGAGAAAAACAATTCCTAGAGAGAAAAAAAAATAATCCTAAGTTGTGAAAGATCGGGCAGTTGAAATTTCTACAAGATGAGTCAGTCACGGTAATACTACTACAGCAAGGATGAATGTTTGTGTGCACGCACACACAGACACACACTTGGAAAAGATTTTTAAATGAGGCTAATTTCAGTTGTAACTAAGCAGTGATGAGCACTTCTACGGATGATGATTTGGCACCTACACATTAGCAAAAGTAAATCAAGTGGGTGAAAGGGTTTTGAGCCCACAGAAAACAGCGCCTCCACTTCCACCAAAAACAGTCTGTACGTGGGTCAGAACAAGCGGAGAGAGCCCCTCCTCTTTCACTTCAGTGTGTGTGGAATGGACTTGAGAAAGATTGCAGACCTTATAAATTCAATAGGAAGAAGGAAGAGCAGAGCTCAGAGCCTGTAAAACCTATGAACTGCTCAGAATTTAATCTGTGGAGATAGCAGGTAAAACCTTTGTTCTATTGAAGTAAACAGTAACATGCTTGGATGCTCTAATAAAGTCAAGATTTCACTTCATAGCAGCAGTTTTCTGAATCTCAAAGTTCCGTTTTCCTATAAATTCCTATAGAATTTATAAATTCATAGTTCACAGGTGCTCCTTTGCCCCCCCACAAAGACCCCTGGAAGTGCACAATAATTTCTGTTGCCTGAATCTCTTCGACTACCTAGACGGAAAAAGGAATGTCACCATTTATTCTAGGTAAACACAGGTTTAAAAAAAAAACAACAACAACCATTCCTGCCCTACTCCACAAGGTGTTGAACTCTCAGCAAAACACAGGTCCAGGTCAAAGGCTCAACTGTCAACTAAATAAAGTCTGAAGGATCTCACATTAGTCCTGGACTACTGAAGGTTACCGTGCTCAAAGGTGGCATCCCACCATCTACTTTGTGTTTCTCAGAGGATACTGGAACTTTGCTTTCCACACAACACCCACAGATTTTTGAACACAACAAACAATGAGCCAGATTGCTCTTACTCTATCTAATAGCTTTTCTCCCCTAAATTCTGTTTCTCTATCCCTTAATCTGTTATCAGGGTGCAATATTTCTTTCAGGAAAAGTGATTAGTACTTTTGTACTTCATTCACATGCAAAAGGTACTTTAATGAGAAGATCCATCTCATTATTCTCCCACTGAAATCTCTCCAAAAAGAGTCCGTGTACTTTCTCCTTCCTAAAATCTCTCCAAAAAGTGTCCTTATAACTCTCACATAAGAACCTGACCGTGTGTCAGAATGACACCTAGGTGGGACACTTCATCACCTGACAACACAGTAGTCAAAATGGGACCACTGACATATCATGGGGGAGGAAGCTGGGCTAGGCCTTCTTAGGACAAGGAGAAACCATTATTTAAGCAGTTCACAAGATCAGCATCTTCAAGTTCCTCAGCAAAGCAAAGCAGAGAACAGGTTGATCAAGGTGGCCCTCAAGGAGATGCTCCCCATATATTTGTTTTACTTTGTGTCTATGACATTAAACTGTCTTGCTCATACTGAGTGATTGCTGTTACAGATGGACAGAAAAAGATTAACATAAACCATTCATGATAAGGAAGGAACTAAATACTACCTTCACCAAAAATTACAATATATGGGATTAAGGAAATTGTGATCTCTGTTATCAAGAACTTGCAAAGTACACAGACCTATATAGAATTAGTTTCGTTGTCAGAAAAGAAAACAAATTGGTAAGTGTATAATGAGATAGGGCATACAGCCATGAAGAGTTATAGGCTGTCATCAATTATCTTAAAGCCACGTGACCTGGGAGAACAAACTCATGTATACCTATTGCCTTTACCTGCAATAAACTTGCAATGAAGAACTTGCCTGTTCTTCACTGTGAAATGCTATTTTCCTTTGCAAGAATTGAAAACATGCAATCAAACTCATCAGAATGAGAGATGCAGGTTGTGTATAGGGCAATGGTTTTTGAAAATCTGGCCTTTAAGATATTTTCCAGAACGATTTCTTTACAACATTCCTAATGGGAACTCAACCATTACAATTAAAACCCCTCCTTCTCATAACTTGAGATGGTCATCTGCCCAGGAACTCACCTTCTACCATTCTAGACAGCCCTATCACAGCTGAAATTAAAATATTAAATACAGTTTGCAATCTAGTTATTTGCATTCTCATACAGTTATGAGTAATAACTCTCAGTACCATGCCATCAATTTCTGCTATCCAAACCGGAAAAGGGGTTCTTAAAAAGCACTCAGTATTGATTTACCACCGTTTTCACAGACACCACTGGTAGTCAAACCTGACTCATGCTATGAGCAAAGAAGGAGGTTGTCTGGAGTAGCAGATTCAGAGAGCTGGCATTTCACACGGGGGGCTTTTGACACACCATTGTCCCTCAGCGAGTCCACGTAAGGGGGAAGGTGCCAGACCTGCATCACAGCTAAAAAGGACTTCAGCTTTAGCATCAATTAATAGCAGCAAGCAAATACTGAGTGCCTTTCAGAGTCCCCAACAGAAACACAATTCCTACAGCATATTAATAGTAGAACTGAAGAAAGGGTTTCATACCTTAAATTCCTCCAAGATTTTGTAGTTTTTCCCATGATATTCACAAAAGTTTTTCACTTCTTTGCATTCTGGACAGCACCCATTGTGTTCCACTTTTGTGCACTTTGGGTGGATTTTAGGGCATTCTGGTTGATCGCAAACAGGTCCATCCTCAGTACAGACACAGGGACAGTTGGAATGTCCCGGGAAAAAACGTTCTCCCAGTTTGTACACAAAGCCACTGTCATCCACACAGCCCTTCCCTCGGTAGTCATCAAAGATCAGATTGTCATTACTGGAGGTCTGGTCCCCTTCATCGGCGGGGTAGTCTTCATGATTGATGGCAGCTGGAGTGACCAAAGCAGGGATTACAAAGAGAAGTATCCAGGCTTCATGGATATGAAGAGCCATCCCCCTCCTCAGCTTCTCCATGGGATCTCAATGCCAGATAGAAACAGCTGCTTCCATAGGGAGACCAGTGTTGTGGTCTGTAAACAAATAATTTTAAGTGAGAACAAATTCAAAATTCTAAGGAACATTGACTTTTAAAGGGCATAGTTTCAACCAGTACCCAAGAATAAATCAGTGCTTTCAAACTGCACAGAAAACTATCACTGTCTCATTTGAACTAAGCCTCTTCTCAATTATTGTTAAAGAGAATAAACCACATGAAATACATAAATTAGGCACACATGCCTCTAAGCATACCCCCACAAAATATCTCTATAGAAAGGGTGGATGACAGAATCATCCAATTTTTATTTTCCTCATTCGTGCAGTTGAGTTTCCTGATGCACCAGAAATTAAAATAAGCTGCCTGAAACCTCATGGTGATGGGCAGCTCAGAGGGGTTTGAACCCAAGTTTAAGCACTGTCTTAAGCTCCTGCTGTGGCCGCTGTCCCTCTGTGCTACGTGTGGTGCACAACCCACTTCGTTAAGCTGAGCTGGGAAACCCGAGTTGAAAAATGAGATAAGCATACTCTGTAGGTAGATCTGTGTCCAATATGAAAGATGGTGCTGGGAATAGTGGAATAGTGCAGAATTTTATACACAAGCATTTCTGAGGAGGAGGAGAGACCACCTGGGCCACCAACACAGCCCAGCCTGTGGCAGGTACATGTAATCCCAAGAGAAGCAAAGATGTCATTCACCTGCTCCATTATTCAGCATTTCAGTCATTCCCAGAGAGAGCAGGATGTTAAATGCCGCGGAGCTGCTGAAATCTCTCTGTCTCATTAAACTGGAGCCTCACTAAAACTTTGGGAGCGACGCGGCACGGCCCGACCTCTGGAGAGCTCTGCGGAAGCGGTGGAGCCCAGGACCGACCCAGGGATGGAGAGGAGGTTTGCACTGCCCCCGGGAGACCCACCTCCGGGCGAAGGCTCCCGGTGGCCCCCAACCACACCGTCCTGCCTGCTCACCAGCCCACAGCCAGCACAGCAGCCCCAGCAGCAAAATGGTTTCTGACCTCTCTTAAGAGAGCCGGGCAAAGTACGGCAGGAAACTTTGAAGGGAGACGAGACGTCAGCATTATAAGGATTGAGGAACGACGGAGGCAGTCGCTGGCACGAAGCGCAAACGGACTGTGCGTGTCATTCCTTCTCTTCCTCCCTTCCCATGGTGTGCACACACACACACACACGGACACACAGGGTGTATAGATAAACATGCATTAACCTACACACGCAGGCAAACACCTACTCCCGCTCTCCACCCCTCCGGGAGGTAGTTTTTACGTATTGGGATTTTTGGCAGACTGCAGATGTTCAGCAATTAATTCTCTCTTAATAGAAGCAAAAAAAAAAAAAAAAAAAAAAAAAAAAAAAGCAGCAGCAGCAGCGGGAGGAGAAAGCTTTAATCCTAGAGAAGCAGCTAAGGGATCCTGTTGACAAAGCAGTTTTTGCAAAGCCACATCAGAGGGAGACACCGGATATTACACAAGCTTTATCAAATTCAAAAGATATCTTCTTAATTGAAGTACTAGCTACGTTTCCATCCCAAGCACTACGCACCCCTGTTACTGCTATCAGCAAAATCTCTTGTAACAAGCTGTCTGGAAATCGAGTGATTCACGCAGAGACAGCTGCTTTACGTATCCACCGAGCAGAGAATCTTGCCCACTGAAACGCTACAGGTAGGTTGCAACATTGCAGACTGGTGGGCATTTAGGGAAAAAAAAATATATATATAAAAAAAGAGAAAGCAAGCAGAAGCAAACGAAGTCAATCACGTCTGAGGAAAACGTGAAACAATGAAGAGAATGTGTTGAAGTTTGATGAGGAAGCTCCCAAAATCATATATATATATATAAAAAAAAAAAAGTTCTCCAAAGATCATAAATAAGACCACTGTGTTTTGCTACAGCATCCGAGATGTCCCACAGCAACTCCCAAGCACTCAGCTCGTCGGCGCTCCTGGAAATCAGACAGACTGCAGGCGTCTTGCACGGACAGATTTCAACAAGTAAACAAATGCTGCTCAGCTCAGAATTAGTTTACAGCTGAACTTTCTCATCATTTCTCATCAGGAGAGAGAGAGAGAGGCCAGGACCGTAGGTAAGTCTCCCAGTAAAACGCTTCCATCCGCCTTTCCCTCGCCCCAAGTGAATAATTTACACTTACCTAATCAGGCTCGGTGCGAAAGCCGAAAGGGGTCACAGGCCAACATGGACTAAAAGGTTAGAAACAGATTAGTGAAAGCAGTTCCTCTTAATCACATTTTCAGTGCCGACTCACGGACAATAAGCCCTTTTCCTCCACCTCCCATGGCAAGACACGGGGGAAAGCGGCAGCCCGGCAACCACAACATGAGAATTAAAAGCTTTTAACCCAGCGTCGGGGATTCAAAGCCGGCGAGGCGGTCCAGAGGCAGGGATGCCGCGGAGAAACCCCGATGCCAGCAGCAGCAGCGCAGTCATCGCGGACAACTTGGGCTGGATTTCCTCAGGTCTTGG